AACCACAGGGAACCATAGAGAACCATAGAGAACTATAGAGAACCATAGAGAACTATAGGGAACCATAGAGAACCATAGGAAACCATGGAGAACCATGGAGAACCATAGAGAACTATAGGGAACCATAGAGAACCATAGAGAACTATAGGGAACCATAGAGAACCATAGAGAACTATAGGGAACCATAGGAAACCATGGAGAACCATAGGGAACCACAGGGAATCATAGAGAACTATAGGGAACCATAGAGAACCATAGAGAACTATAGGGAACCATAGGAAACCATGGAGAACCATAGGGAACCACAGGGAACCATAGAGAACCATAGAGAACTATAGGGAACCATAGAGAACTATAGGGAACCATAGGAAACCATGGAGAACCATAGGGAACCACAGGGAACCATAGAGAACCATGGAGAACCATAGAGAACCATAGGGAACTATAGGGAACCATAGAGAACCATAGGGAACCACAGGGAACCATAGAGAACCACAGGGAACCACAGGGAACACAATCCCAGATCGCCTCACTCTCATCATCAGTGTCATTCCTGCTTTAACACGGCTGCTCTTCTCCTGTTTGTTAGTGTTTCAAAGAAATGTGTCAAATGCAAAGAGGCGCCTGCAGCTTTGGTCATCAGAGCAGGAGATGCGTACTGCAGGTAAGCTGTGCAGCATTTCTACATGTAGAGCTGTGAGAGGTAACACTGAGAGCTCATCTGTGGTGGCTGGGGTGTTTTTAAGGTAAGCAGTGTGCCTCACTGCAGGGATACATGACTGCATCTGTGATGACGGTGAGCGTAGCCACCACCGTGCGCTCATGGACAGTGGAACAGACAAACTACAGGGTGGGCCGTTTCTATGGATACAGCGTAATAACATGGGAATGGTTGGTGATACTAAAGTCCTGTTTGTGGCACATTAGTATATGTGAGGGGGCAAACTCCTCAAGATGGGCGGTGACCATGGTGGCCATTTAGAAGTCGGCCATCTTGGATACAACTTTTGTTTTTTCAATAGGAAGAGGGTCATGTGACACATCAGACTTATTGGTAATGTCACAAGAAAAACAATGGTGTGCTTGGTTTCAACGTAACTTTATTCTTTCATGAGTTATTTACAAGTTTCTGACCATTTATAAAATGTGTTCGGTGTGCTGCCCGTTGTGTTGGATTGTCAGTGCAACCCTCTTCTCCCACTCTTCACACACTGATAGCAACACTGCAGGAGAAATGCCAGCACAGGCATCCAGTATCCGTAGTTTCAGGTGCTGCACATCTCGTATCTTCACACAATTGCCTTCAGATGACCCCAAAGGTTAAAGTCTAAGGGGGTCAGATCGGGAGACCTTGGGGGCCGTTCAACTGGCCCACGACGACCAATCCACTTTCCAGGAAACTGTTCATCTAGGAATGCTCGGACCTGCACCCATAATGTGGTGGTGCACCATCTTGCTGGAAGAACTCAGGGAACGTGCCAGCTTCAGTGCATAAAGAGGGAAACACATCATCATGTAGCAATTTCAAATATCGAGTCGCTGTGGGCTCTTGCTGAATGAAGCTAGGACAGCCACTGATGTTTCTTCATTAGTCACAGTTTTCTTGCGTCCACATTTTGGCAAATCCGACACTGAACCAGTTTCACGAGCAAGCAGTTTGCTGACTGTAGCGTGGGAGATGGGTGGTCTCGTAGGGAGTCTTGCATTGAAATGTGCTGCAATGACCCGGTTACTGCGTTCACCAGATATCAACACTATTTCGATCCTCACGTGTTAACCTCTTCAACATGTCGATGGCTGTGAACAAAGAGAAACTTGTAAATAACTCATGAAAGAATAAAGTTACGTTGAAACCAAGCACACCGTTGTTTTTCTTGTGACATTACCAATAAGTGTGATGTGTCACATGACCCTCTTCCTATTGAAAAAACAAAAGTTATCCAAGATGGCCGACTTCTAAATGGCCACCACCCATCTTGAGGAGTTTCCCCCCTCACATATACTAATGTGCCACAAACAGGACTTTAATATCACCAACCATCCCCATGTT